AGGCCATGATTGACAAGGGCCAGTGGAGGGAATTTGGCCAGGACACCGGGGTTACACCCCTACTCTGCGAAAAGTGCAATGGGATTTTTAATGACAACAGAGAGACAGGACCTCAGTTTAATGTCTCATCCGAAGGACGGTGCTTTTTGACAGTATAGTGTCCCCTTCACTATACTAGGGCATTAGGACCCACGCAGACCACAGGGTGAGCACCCCCTGCTGGCCTCACTAACACTTAATGACTAGCTTTTCCACCGAACTCAACCCTTGGTTCCAGAACGTGTATGGAAATTCCACTGAGGATGCAGCTCCAACCTCTCCCTGTTGTGAGAAGACCATTTTAGAAACAATGATCAGCTGCAATTAATGGTATAAGCTGCTAAAAATGACATTTTATCAAGAGAAACGATAAAGAACCCCTACAAATGTGTAAGTTCAAACTGCATATAAGCAATATTTATTATATTAAGGTCAGGAACAGTGGACCATATCAGAATCAGAATCAGAATCAGAATGAGCTTTATTGCCAGGTATGTTTACACATACGAGGAATTTGTTTTCGTGACAGAAGCGTCCACAGTGTAACAGAATGACAGTGACAGAACAAAAAACACAGATAATAAAAAATAGAACAAGTAAATAAGGAATAAAAATATATAAATTGACAGTTGTATGTGCAGGTATATTGCAATAGACAGTTTTTGTATGTACAGGTACTGTATATTATGTGCATATTTGAGGTGTAGACTGAGTATGTGTGTTAGATAAATAAGTGTATGAGTGAATAAATAGTGTGTGTTCCACAGTTATTGTTAAGTGTTCATGAGATGGATGGCCTGAGGGAAGAAACTGTTCCTGTGTCTGGTCGTTCTGGTGCTCAGTGCTCTGTAGCGTCGACCAGATGGCAACAGTTCAAAGAGGGAGTGTGCTGGATGTGAGGGGTCCAGAGTGATTTTGCCAGCCCTTTTGCTCACTCTGGATAAGTACAGTTCTTGGAGAGAAGGGAGGGTTGTACCAATGATTCGCTCAGCAGTCCGGACTACCCTCTGTAGTCTTCTGAGGTCAGATTTGGTAGCTGAGCTGAACCGGGGCCGGCTGGTCAGCACAAGATTTCAGACAGGCTGGTGTAACACAGTCTGGGCCTGGTGCTTTTTTCCTTTAAAAAGCAATATAAAAGGTGTTTACCTTCACATTCAAAGAAATAAGCCCAATTTCAAAGCATTTATCACCACTTGTTCTCCTCTGAATGCCGGCAAGCACAGCGTGACAGGCTTCATTGGGAGATGAGCCCTTGATAGCAGACAAAAGATGAGAGAAATGTGAGCCAGATCTAATTTACTACAGCACAAATATTTTTCTAATGGTTTAATGAGATTTTCATTGACCGCCTTCACTTTACACAACCTCTATTGTCAAAAACACAACCATTAGGATATCCAGATCCTCACAGTACTTAACATGAAATTTTCTACTGTGTGCAAAATGTTTTTGACTAATGCAAATTACACCTTCACATTTTGATACATTTGGACATAATCCTATGTATTATTATTGAATTAAATAATACACAACTGAATATTTATCCAAGGTGATATTTTAATTTATACCAAAGCAGAATTAAATACTTGTCTCATCAGCTGCACAACATGAAAGCTTGGGCAATAGCACATGATTTTGTCTCCATCACCTGTAGCTGTGGACAGAAGTCCTATATACCAAATATATATAGGTATATTCTCCTCCAAGTGTAAAGTCTCCAAATGGTCTATATACTGCATGTTCAATAGTACAATGTAATATTTACTGAGCAAAGAAACAATGCCTTAGTACAAGAACAAGCTCAGATGCAATGTAAAAAAATACCTGTTGCGGCCGGCACCCACCTGAAAATACAGAGAACATGGTTGTAAATTGTCATACTTTTAATCCTTGTCATACAAATTAATAGAATTTGATAGTAAAGAAATAGGCTATGAGTTGAATGATACAAAAAGCCCTGCATAATCAAATGACTTTTAAAGTTCCACAACTTACTGTATGGTCAGCATATAGACCACAGCCTGGAAGTGGAGAATCTCCCACCCGCCCTGGAGATTTGAAGGGTGCTCCTGATGTGGAAACTCCTGCACAATATGTGTACATTTAGGCATATACAAATGTTTGTCGTTAAATAACAGAATTTGTACATAAATACTTGCCAAATGTCAAACCAGTATAATTATACTCATGACTACATTAGTACATCTGTGTTCAATATTATTGTAGAAATTAAGATGACTTCAGAGAAAACAACAATGGACAATGTAAACATTTTCAACCTTATCTACTGTTATGTTACCACTTAGATCAAGAGCTATAAGACCTATGAGAACGTAAACAAAATTAAGCTGCAATATGTGGGAAATACACTGCTTAACTAATATAAAGCCATCCAAACTGCATGTTATAAACCCAATATATAATAAATTATATACAATGGATGGATATGCAATGTTTATTCATAATCAGAACATTAAAACAACATTGATTGTGTGCTAAATGTAAAAGTTTCACTTTATTACATTAAGCCATACTTTGCCAAAGTACTTTTTTGAGTCATCGGACCCACTGATTCACTCATCGAGAAAGCTTTCAAATTATATGAATCTCTTACCTATTGTATCATGCCCACCTCTAACAGGTTTATTTTTTCAAGGAATTCCTTTTGGAATTTATAAAAACACACAGAAAAATTTAATTAAAATCAATTAGCATGTATCTATTCTTTCTAGGGATTGAAATAATAGAAGAAACAGTTGTGTGTGGTGTGTGTGAATACCCGGTAAGCAGTATTTAGAAATGTAAAAATACAAATTTCTATATAGTTTTCTTTTTTTCAATTTCAAATTTTTTTTTATGTTTAAAGGGGTCATATGATGCTGCTAAAAAGAACATTATTTTGTGTATTTGGTGTAATGAAATGTGTTTATGCGGTTTAAGGTTCAAAAAACATTATTTTCCACATACTGTACA